CTCTCACTCCAGAAGCGACCAGAAGCGACTTGCAGCATGCAAGCAAGCAAAACAACCAACGGACGTTTTCAGGACCAACCATGACAATAATAATAATAATAATAATAATAATAATAATAATAATAATACCATTGCTCAGATAATTCATTGGAACTTGTGCCATAAATACCACCTTCCTGTGACAAAGAACTGGAGGGATCACAAGCCTGAAAAAGTTATAGAAAATGGAACACTTCAAACTACTCTGGGACTTCCAAATTCAGTCTGACAGTTTTGAAGCACAATACTCCTGACCTCACAATTGTGTTAAAAAACCAAATATGGCTCGTTGATGTTGCAATCCCAGGTGACAGTTGGATTGAAGAGAAACAACTGGAAAACCTGACATGATACGAGGATTTAAAGATCGAACTGCAAGGAATTTGGCACAAGCCACTAATGGTTGTCCCAGTGATGATCGGCACACTGGGTGCAGTGCCTAAAGACCTTGGCCTGCACTTAAACACAATCGGCGCTGACAAGATTACCATTTGTCACCTGCAAAAGACCGCCCTACTGGGATCTGCACGCATTATTCACCACTACATCACACAGTCCTAGACACTTGGGAAGTGTGATCCAGATCCAATACAACAGCTAGCAGAGTGATCTTGTTTGCTGTGTACCCATCTTGTTGTGTTTCAAAGAATAATAAAGATGATGATTATGATAATTTAGAATTCAGACTGAGAAAGTTTTGGAACACAATACACCAGACAACACGATTGTGGATAAGAACAAAGTTTGGATTATTGATGTCACCATTCCAGGTGACAGTCGCATTGAGGAAAATCAGCAGGAAAAACTCAGCCGTTCTCAGGACCTCAAAATCCAACTGCAAAGGCTCTGGCATAAACCAGTACAGGTGGTCCCAGTGATCATCGGCACACTGGGTACCGTGCCAAAAGATCTCAGCCGGCATTTGGAAACAATAAGTGTTGACAAAATCATGATCTGTCAACTGCAAAAGGCCACCTTACTTGGATCTGCGCGCATCATTCGAAACATATTACACAGTCCTAAATGCTTGGGAAGTGTTTGACTTGTGATTTTGAGATATGCAGCCCAGTATATACATCGCATTTGCTATGTCAAACTGTGTTTTTGTGCAGTCATGCCAGCCACATGAGCTTGCGGTCGTCTACGGACAACGCCTGCTCTTTGACTTAGAAATGGAGATGAGCACCAACCCTCAGAGTCGGACACGACTGGACTTAATGTCAGGGGACAACCTTTACCTTTACCTTATAATAATAATAATAATAATAATAATAATAATAATAATAATAATGTAATTGTATTCAGGGCAGATTCCAGTATACACAAACACAAAGGCAAACATTCAATGCCTAGAGACAATGAAACCCAGATAAAGGTAAAGACTTCTTCCAGCTCTGGTGGATGGCTTTCATCTCCATTTCTAGGCCGAAGAGCCTCCGTTGTCCATGGGTGGCCAGCATGACTGCATGGAGCTCCATTTACCTTCCCACCAAGGCAGTACCTAGTGATCTACTCGCATTGTACACTTTTTAACTGCTAGGTTGGCAGAAGCTAGGACTGACAGTTAAGAACTCACCCCAACTCGAGGCTTCGAACTGTTGACTCTCCAGTCAGCAGTCTTTCCTGCAGTTAGAGCAGTGTTTCTCAACCTGGGGGTCAGGACCCCTGAGTGGGGTCATGAGGAGGTTTGAGAGGGGTCGCCAAAAACCATCAGAAAACACACAATTCTGATGGTCTTAGGCATTCGTCATTGTTTGAGTTCACAGTGCTCTCTGGATGTAGGTGAACTACATCTCCCCTAAATCACTGTCAATTCATCCCAAATCCCCCCAGTATTTTCTGTTGGTCATGGGGATCTCTGTGTGGGAAGTTTGGCACAATTTTATTGTTGGTCAGGTTCAGAATGCTCTTTGTAGGTGAACTATAAATCCCAGTAATTATAACTCCCAAATGTCTAGGTCTATTTCCCTCAAACTCCACCAGTGTTCACATTTGGGCATATTGAGTATTCATGCCAAGTTTGGTCCAGATCCATCATTGTTTGAGTCCACAGTGCTCTCTGGATGTAGGTGAACTACAACTCCAAAACTCAAGATCAATGCCCACTACACCCACCCAGTATTTTCTGTTGGTCATGGAAGTTCTGTGTGAAATTTGGTTCAATTCCATCATTGGTGGAGTTCAGAATGCTCTTTGATTGTTCAGAACGCTCTTTGATAGTTCACCCATATGTGAAGAGCATTGTTAACCCCACTAAGCTTGACATACAAACCCATCATGACTAATTTTAACTGCTTGTGGGCTTTGGAAGGGATTGAGCCCCTTTCCAGAGAGCTCTGTGACTCCCACCAACCTCAGATGTTGGGAGTTATAGTTCACCCCTTTCCAGAGAGCCCTGTGACTCCCTCCAACCTCAGATGTTGGGAGTTATAGTTCACCCCTTTCCAGAAAGCCCTGTGACTCCCACCAACCTTGGATGTTGGGAGTTATAGTTCACTCCTTTCCAGAGAGCCCTGTGACTTCCACGAAGCTTGGATGTTGGGAGTTATAGTTCAGCCCTTTCCAGAGAGGCCTGTGACTCCCACCAACCTTGGGTGTTGGGAGTTATAGTTCACCCCTTTCCAGAGAGCCCTGTGACTCCCACCAACCTTGAATGTTGGGAGTTATAGTTCAACCCTTTCCAGAGAGCCCTGTGACTCCCACCAACCTTGAATGTTGGGAGTTATAGTTCATCCCCTTTCAGAGAGCCCTATGACTCCCATTGACGATGGATCTGGACCAAACTTGACACCAGACATGGCCAACTTCTAATACTGGTGCAGCTTGTGGGGGATCAGCCCATGATGTTGGGAGTTGTAGTTCACCCACCTCCTAATTGGAGCATTCATTTTGAAAAAAAAGAGTAAACAATGACCATTTCTTACACTGTTATTGTTCCTGGGTTAATTGGTTCCATCACATAAACATGGAAGGGAGGAAGGGAGAAGTGCATTAAATTGCAAAACCTTTTGTGTGTGTGTGTGTGTGTGTGTGTGTGTGCCATTCTGCTATAGCACACAATGAACATCTCATGGAGTCTCAACCCATTCAACATAGTTGTTGCTACACAAATGAAGTTCCTGGAGTAGAACAACTCTTTCCAAAGTAAGGGCCGCACAATTGAAACAGGAAATTGCATTTTCAAACCAGGAACAGAACATTTTTCAAATGTTGTTACTAGGGGTGTGAAATTCAGATGCCTCCCAAGGTCAGTTTAATTTTCAGTATAAGCACTAAGCAAGTCTGGTAAAGCCAAAAGAATAGAAAAGTGTTTTAAAAGCCAATCCTTTTTCTTTGGCCCAATTGTCACCATAATCCAAAGCACTGGGAGCGGGACTAAAATGTTGTTTATAAAAACTTTGAAAATTCTCCAAAAATCTGTGGATAAGTGAAATGTTCTGAAATTTGGTTGGCTAACAGTAGACAAGGTGTTCTACCATTGTGGCAAGTTTCATCCCAATAGCTTTAAAAATTGTGAGAGATCGGAGCTCCTGAAGTTTCCCCAATTATAGTAATTATGCACAATTACTGTAATGGAATAGTAACAAAATTTCATTACTCTCGTTATACTAATGGATTTTTCCACTATACTTTAGAAACACTTTAGAAACTAAAGGCAGGGCCCCCAGTTTTGTAATGACTTTTAAACCATTTTTAAATAGCTAGCACATCTCTAGTTGTTACATAATAC